TTTAGCGTAGGTCTGATCTCTGCTGGATCTTCGATGCACATGCTCACCCAGACACACGCTTACTGCCCATTCGCTTCCTTCCTCAGATTCCCTCTCTAACTCCTGCTAACCACTTTTGTTTTAATTAGGACTGGGCTTGCCTGGTCCCCAGCAGAAGTCCAAGATGACAAGTTGTCACAGGTAACAACAAGGAGCAATGTAATATTGATCCCACTTGCTTGCCCAGAACTTCCAGTTATCCTGAGCAATTAAGTAGCTTTTTACAGGCTCCTAATAATACAGAAATGGAAAAGATGTGCTAGATGAATGAATGCATCCTTGCAAAAGCACAGGATCACATGTGTCTACAATATAAGAAAGTCAGCAATCAGTGCATCATGCCACGCCCAACTTCATCCTAGACAGAGTAGTTCAACTGTGGCTAAAATACTAGGAATTTGAAGAATAGGCACCCGAGTCACCATCAAAAAGGATGGTCAGTCAAATTAAGGGAAAAGACTTTTCAGATCCTGCTTACCTGTCTAGTTTTCCATTTATTCTTCTAATTACAATCCTAACTGAACAGTCGAGTAATTTTCCCTCCTTTTGTTATAGGTACTTGCAACAATTAGAGCAAAATTTATAACATTCAAATGATAGTGCAGTGCAGGAGGACTCAGTGAAATAAAAAAGGCGCTCTTCCATTTTTATCAAATCTTGTAAGAAAAGTAACTTGCAGCAACAGTAAGAAAGTTCAGATGAAAGTGAAAAATTTCAAACCAACCATGTTGCTTTTAACGAGGAAATAAAATACACCAACTCCTGCATGCTACTCCTCCCTTCCTTCCTCTCCCCATCTCATAAAAGAGGATCCCAAAGAAGGATCATGTTTAAGGTCCCAGTTCAGAAATCCTGTATCAATTCCTTAACACTGTAAAAATTTTGGACTACAGAAACAGATCCCAACAAACATCTTCAAAACGAACAATCCATCTCATCCTGAAAGATGACATCACTCAGTAACAGAAGGCAAAATTATAACCTTTGATATTAACAAACATGTCTTGCATCTATTTACACCCAGCACCCTACCCTTCATTATCATCTTTAACATCTGGGCTTCACGCTAAGCAAAGGAAAACAGATACACTTCTAACATTGCCCATACAAAACGTGTGCAAAAAAAGAATCTGCAGCATTTCTGCCTTACTGCCAGCATTCAAGTAAGTTGTACGCATCCAAGTTGCATGTACCATTTTGAACATGCAAAAAAATGTTAACAAACATAATCCTTCTCGCAGATTTTATAAAAACTCGAGCTCTTCTCAGTTCTTAGCAATGAAGACCTTTTTTCACGTACACCACAAAAGCTTTCACTCACTTCACCTCTCCGGTCTGCTTTACCCTTTGACAAAAAGACCTTTTTCTAAAATTTAACAAGAGCTGTTCGCACATAACTATGTGCAGAATTCACATTATAAAAGAGAAGCAAGCTATATTATTCATTCCATACTAACCTATTAAAACTCCAAATGACAATACTGAGCCAAATTCAGTAAGGTGCACATTCCTTGGATTTAACAGTTACAGAGGACTAACATTGATACTTTTTTTTTTTTTGGTAAAAGAAACACGGTGGACTAGGCACATTGCTGCATTGGGCATGGCTTGTCTTTGAAAGATCAAATAGTTTTTAGGACTTGTAATTTTTATATGACACTGAATGACTCAAACACATGACTTGAGGGTCTAAGTTGTATCAGAATAAAGCTAAAAAAGGACAAGTGTGGATGTTTCTAAGTGTACCTTATTTACACTGTACACACACACAGATGCACATATGTAATGGCTGATGTGTTTCTACCTTAAGTAATGCCTCCAGCTCTAGGTACTTCATTACCAGAAGAGTAAAAACAACCCGAAGAAGGTAGTTCAGAGAAGATCAGTCAAACTGATTAGTGCTGAAGGAAGGACTTAAAAGGTAGTTAAAAACTCGATACTACAGCTGTTTCATGAACAGAACACCTTCCTTGGGTAAAAGGGAAGAGAAATCCAAACAAAAGCATCATCCTCTAAAAAGATATCAATATATACAATTAGTGAAGCACTGGCTTTAGAAAAACATGGCTATACTCTGCACACAACCAAGGGCGAACTCCAAGAAGAAAGCTAAATTAATTATTGCAAGCTCAAAAGTCTAGGTGTAGCGAGCTTAAACTATTACAGGAATTTTGACTCGACATCCAGTAAGTTTCTGCTCATAGCAAGATCTCATAAACTTGGCATAACCTCACCAAGAAAAGATAGGATAAGGACGTAAAAATACTGCTTCAGCGTTCAAGCTAGCTTTGACAGGACTCGGACTCAGTAAGATGGAAGCTTCTTCCCTCCGCTTAGACTGTCTGATTCTATAAAATGATATTAGTAGCTACAAACATTGCAGAATGAGTGAACACACTTAAATAAACAACCAAGTGTTTTCAAAGCAGTTTTGAGCAGCAATATTTTGTTTCAGCAGATTAAGAAACTATCATATTTGCCTTGAAAAGGACTCTTCACATGAGTAAATTTTTCAAATTCATGAAACTAGTAGGAATAGGGTCCAATCACTGTTCAGGCAACAGACTGTTGTACAAGCAGCACTGTTAAATAAAATTACTGATTTAAAGACATTTTTATACTTCGGCTGTTACTGTTACCACTGTTCAGCTAGTCAGCTAACACAAAGCATTCTCTACAGCAATATAAATTACCTAAAATGTACTCTGAAACAAAATAGATACTGCTTCTCCCCATTACATTGAACAGAAAAATTCTGCTTTTGACTGATGGAAATATTCATGTCACCATGAAGTTTATGTATATCCTAGAGTTCATCAGAAAGAAAAAGGTGAGAAACATATTTTCTTTGCTGTGAGAGCAATCCATTGCAGAATACTAGTAACTTCACTCAGAAGGACGTATCTCTAAGCAGTACTTAAAATGAGTGAGGCACACAGTTTATGTGCAGTAAAACATGCTATTTTCCACTGAATTTTACACTGTGATATGTCTTAGAAACCGAAGGATATCGATAAATTGTAGATTATTGAAGTGTAAACAAAAACGTCTAACATTTCCTTCTTGTCCTCTCCTTTAAGGGACACAACGGAATAGATACTTCCGAATTTACCACATACTTTTTTTATTCTTTTCTATTACTACTTTCTGTTATGGAACATCACACCTTGTCTAGTATTACTTAACGTATCACGTTATCATGCAGTTCAACACTTCTCTATTTCCAGAGATCTAAGAATACGTTTGTTTCCAAATGCTTTTTTTTTTTTTAATTAACAACACTGCTATGCTTCCTATGTTTCTCTTCTATTATTTGAGAAGCAAAAAGAATGACATGTACTAACACAAAATTATATTGTTTATCTATAAAGTAAGTTTACAGAACTGTAAAGAGCAATTTCACAACTTAAAAAAAGGTACAAAGGGAAGAAAGGGGGGAAAAAACAGGAGGAAGACTGCTCCCTCTTTGGTAAGTTTTTCATTCATTCAGTTCTAAAAAAAAAAAAAAAAAGAGCACCAGAGAGGGGGGCACCTCGTATGCCAGTACAAAGCAGGAAGTGTAAGAATTTAGTAAGTTCACTACCGGATTCTACACTTTGTAGGCAATTCCAAATGCAAGCGCAGCTAATATTGATGTGCGGGCCCTCAGGCGTAGGGTACATCTAGAAATCCACTCCACCAGCACAAGGAGCAAGGCAACATGAGGCAGCAGCAGCGTTTTTTCTACTTTTCAGTCACCTTTTTATTAACCTCATGATAAGCGTAGCCTTTAAAAAAAGCCTGATAAAGGTTACCGCAAAATAAGACCGGGCCATCGAGTGGAACATTAAAAGGGAATCACAGTATAATCATGGAACAACCCCCCTGCCCCGTCATTGCAAACGTCATAGAAAATGGACAACCACGTAAAAAGTTAAGATGACTTTTTGCCTTCCTAACATGGCCCTAGCCAAACCCAAAATGGTCTCTTTTACCTGACACCGGCTCTTCTTTTCTCTGGTCGCAGAGAAGACGGGTGAAATTCAAAATAGCGTTGCTGCAACTGGAGACTAACAGCAGGACCAGGGAAGGTCTACACATGCTCCTTCTCTGCAAACCCACGCTACAGACCTGGGGAAAAGTTCCCTTCACTTTATAATTTCGTACGTATCTTGCATCTGAAACTCCTTTTGCGTGAAGGCATTCATGCCAGCTTCCACGCTCAAAATACCAACACCGTTCCCTCTGCGGGGCTTAAAAACAAAAACAACGTCCACATGCCCCTTCTCTCCCCGACAGCCTGACTGCTTTTGGTCTGATTCCTTAATCGTTACTTTTTTTCCCCCCCACCCGCCCACCCCCCAGGAAGGAATATTTAAAACTCAACCAACCCAACCACATGCACGCTGCAGTGTATCACCACAGGGACGCTCTCAGGTCTGAATTACTGCAAAACAACACTATAATTATGTCTTAATTTCACTAACTGATCTCAGATGAGCTTTTAAAAAGCAATTCGAGGTTTACAAGAAAAGCGTTTAAAACTGTATTCAAATGTTATCTGAATGAAAAACCGACGTTTATTTATCCTTTTCCGGGCTTAATTTTATTCCGTTTCCAAGGAAAGGCATATATATGCTCCTGATCAGTCTGGTGACAAGTGATAAGCCTTATTAAAAAGAAAAGCGTGGCATTCGAAAATAAATAAAAAGCACAGGAGAAGTTTCTAACCAGGGAGAAAACCACGGAGAAACGAGATGATCCCTTTGCAGAAATCTCCGGACACAGAGACTAAGCACAACCTGACCACCTTCCTTTACTCGAATTGTAGGCTGCCAACAAAACCACTACCTAGGGCAACTTTTTAAATACAGATGCACCTAAATACCTAGGAAAAAATAGGTTACTTCACGTGAAACCGGAGTCCCACTGAGCTCAACCAAATGTGGCAGGCTGAGATGGAAGACAAAAATGGGTCTTACTTGGTGTACAAAGACATCAACCGGAGACTCCAAGGGGCTTCCCTCTCGGTTGCTCATGGAGATGAACCCGAATCCCATTCTCACATTGAACCATTTGCAGTGGCCGGTTCCGTGCAAAACCTGGGATTCCTCCTCTTCCTCCTGCTCCGGCAACTTCCCGGGCTCGTCTCCACCTTTACTCGCCCCTGCTGAGGAAGAGGGAAAGGCGGGGGGGGGGGGGGGGGGGGGGGGGGGTGGTGGGGGGGAAGGGAAGGGGGGGGAGAAAAAGAAGGAAGGAGGGGGGAACAAGATGCAAAGCAAAGAGTTAAATTCTGGTAACATCCTTCTGCCACCGTATAAAGGAGTTACTGCAGAAGAAACAGGGAAAAAAAAGGCAAGCAAAACAAAATCAAAAAGCAAACGGCGAAAAGAGCTCATTTTTCTCTAAAGCTTACAATAATCAACCATCTCCCCCAAATACGTAAAAAAAAAGTAAAATCACCGGAGGTTAGAGAGAGGAAACACTGCGTACGGAGGCTCTCCCTCTCTCTTTGCCCAGGGCAGCCCACATTTCTGTACATACGTGTATTTTTCCATATAACTCCATCTTTCAGCCACATTACAGCACGGAACGCGATACTTTACTTGAATATTGCTGGTTTAAGACCGATCCCATTTCTCAAGAGAAATTCTCAGCCCAATTAGTCTCTCCTCGCAAGGCGCAGGACCGGGGGGCGAGGGGGCAGGCTGGCCGAGGAGGGGTGGAGGAGAGAGACTAAGCAAAATTGGGTAGATTGCACAACTGGTTATTGCACATGCAGCGCCGAAACCACTATTTTCCAACGTGTATCCATCCCTCCTTGGAATAAACTTTCGATTAAAGTTGGGACAGGTGTACGGCCGTTTTCTCATCCCACCACTGCAACTGTGCTTAATCAAACAGGAACAATTCAAACAATAGCCCCCTGAAAGCTTTTCAAGTTGTGAATCGGTGTGGGCGGTACGGAACAGTTTCTGAGCTTGGTAACAATGGGTTTGGAGAAAGCCCCCTTGCGCGAGCTGCTAAAAAAGGGTAATGCATAGTTGGGTTAAAAGGGGGGGGGGGGAAGAGGAGGGGGGGTGGGGGGGGGAGAGAGGAAGAGAGCGAGCGAGCGAAAATCATAGTAAAACAATAGAAAAAGAAAATTAACCTTCGGCCATGTTGCCCCACGGGCCCTCTGCTCCAAACTCGTGAGATGAAAACTTTCCCTGTGGATCGAAGTGGTCTTCTGCATTAATCTAACATCCTGATTTTGAACGATCGCAAATTTAGCTCGCATGGTCTAATGTGCTTTCCCTCTTTTGATTTTTTCCCCTTCTCTCTCGCTCCGTTTCTGGCCCCCTGCGCACACGTGACTCGGTCAATTACATGCTTTCTTGCTACTAATTTCACATCGGATCCTTAAGGGGTTGGCAGGAGGCAGGAGTAGCCAATCGCCATTTCAACCAGGCTGACACACCAAAATAATTTATGAATGAACAAGAAATTTCCAACGCGTCCCTTTTTTTTTTTTTTTTTTTTTTTTTTTTTTTTTTTTTTTTTCCGACAGCTAATCTGCACGCTTCCTTACGGGAAATCGAGATGACGTATATATTCTGGGGTTCCTGCACTCCCGTGCACGGCACAAACACGGAGGGAAGACCCGCGTGTTTCTAAACGCGGCGCCGGAGAACAACACCCACGGGCGGCGGAGAACGCGCGGATGAGGTTATTGGGGTGTCCGCGCACGCCCTGGGTGGGGTACGCGTACGCACCCGAGCGCAAGATGCTTACAAATGAGATACACCCATGCGTATAGACATGCACTAGGTATGCTGGGGGGGGGGGGGGGCTGCGTTACCCTCTGCGCGAAATGCCGGCGTACGGGTCACCGATCGCCGCTTCCACCTCGAGAAAAGCCCCCCCCACCCCCCCCAAAAAAAAAAAAAAAAAAAAAAAAACAACAACAAAAAAACGGGGAGGGGGGGGAATCTGCCTCTCCCTACGGGCGTGTGCACGCGTGGGTGTGTGCACGCGTGTGCCGCCGCTCACGCCTACTGCTGCACGTTAACTAATTTCGCATTCAAACTAAAAAGCGCGCCGGAAACGCGAGATCACCTTAATATGGCCCAGAATGTGCGGAGGTTTAGCGTTTCAAAACATTTCTGGAGGGGGGATGGGGCGAGGAATTGTACTTCACAGGTTTCTCCGCCATCTCTTTCCGGGGGAGGGGATGTGATTAATGACTTCCTAAATAAGAGCCCAGTTTTCCAGCCTAGTATTGGAGTGAACCTCAATCAGCAGCGATTGTTCCCCAGGAACGCGGGGGAGAGGAGGAGGAGGAGGAGGAGGAGGAGGAGGAGGAGGAGGAGGAGGAGGAGGAGGAGGAGGAGGAGGAGGAGGAGGAGGAGGAGGAGGAGGAGGAGGAGGAGGAGGAGGAGGAGGAGGAGGAGGAGGAGGAGGAGGAGGAGGAGGAGGAGGAGGAGGAGGAGGAGGAGGAGGAGGAGGAGGACTGACAGAGAAAAGGATTCGCTGGAGAGGAGGAAGGCGGAAAAAAAAAAAAAAAAAAAAAAAAAAAAAAAAAAAAAAAGCCAGAGGAAGAAGACAAAGAGGGAAGGAATAACGCTGATCGGGGACTGCTGTTTTAAGTCTTCGCTGCCAGCGGGAGGGGGGGATCCAACTCGGAAAATAAATGTGTTGCATGTAAGGGGCTCGGTGAGAGCCTGAGCGCAGCCCTGGCCGGAGGCACTCGCCCTCGGCAATCCCAGGTACACGGCCACCAGCGTGCCCGCACGCCCCTGCTATTGCTGCGCTTACGGCCAACGGCTTATTTAAAAAAAAGATTTGTAGAAACGTACCACCCCACTTCCCCCGCGCCGCAGTTGGGTGAGACTCCGTTTTCTTCACCGTCTGTCCCACCTCCTTCAGTGTAAAGGTGCGGATGAAGGCATGAAAACATTTTGCCTCTTCGGTCCTCACCACCGCCCACTCACGTATAGCCTCGCTTTACATCGAGTATTGGATAACCCTCCAAACGGTGCCTATTTCTTGTTAAAACCTGGGCTCAATTACTTCCTTATTAAAACTCCTTCCCCCTCCCTGTCCCCCCCCCCCCCCCCCCCGGCATCCTCTCTTATCCCAAGGACACACACAAACAAAAGGCAAAGCGGCAGACGGATCCGTGCAGAACCTGAATGCGAGGAGTTTATGCATTTGCAAAGCACTTGCTGTTGTTTGGGAAGTGGCGTCGATCAGTCTGCCCAATTCAGGGGGACGCCTTTGCCCCCACGGGCCTGTTTACTCCTTTTGTTGCCTTTCAGGACAGTGTAAATTCCCCTGCTAGCGCCTCATTTCTGTGTGAAATACCGAGGTGCTCGGTTTGATCGTTTGCTAGGAAGAAGCGAGGGTGGGCAAAAGTGTACAAATACGAGCAGCCAGGCGAGGGGAACAGAAGCTTTAAATCCTGAAATTCCTTTGCAGTCTTCAACCGTAAATTTCCTATAGGTTATTTCAACAGTGGAGGTCGACTTCCTACACTGACCTGCCTTACGCATTCGTGCAACATACCACTTCTTTTTACTCGTAGCCTCCCTTCCCCCTTTACAATAGCGATTATTTTACAATATTAAATCACCAGTAATTTTATAGGCTTGGATCTTATGACCGGGACGATATCCAATATATAAGAAACGTGCGAGATTTTAACACACGTGAAACCCCAGCTATGCACAAGAAATTAAGGTTACCGGAAAGGAGAAAAAAAAAAAAATGCTTACACCGCTTATTTGAAGTGTCCAAGACTACATTTCTTGTAGCTGAATAGCACATTTATAAAATACGACCCCTTTCTGGTCCTCCCTTCGAAAAGACATCAAGTATTCTAATACCGTTTTAAAAGTCTTTATTTTTTCATATTGATTTACTGACATTTGGTATAAAAATTCCTTAGAGGCTAGAATATTGGTCAAACAGACACAAACGAGTTGATTGAGTTCATTAAATGGACAAAATGTCTTGTTAGCAAATTTCAGTTAAAAGAAAATTCAGTATATTATGTTCTTCGATGAACAAATGAAAGACTACAAAAACACGTAACTAGATGAATGTAAAGATATTTGTTGCAAAGTATTTCTTACATCACAAAATAAATGCAGATTTTGTAAAATGGAGGGGGGTGGGATTTGCAAAGGGTCTTTAGTGAGATTTTCAGGCCTCCAGTATTAGTGGAATTAAGGTTGGGGTCACTGGACTGGTCACTGGTGTCAGATGTTATCGACTCATTCATTTCCTGCAAGGGACATCAGCCTTTCAAGTTTTGTGGAAGGTAGAGAGCTGTTGCCAGCTGGGAACTCTCCGGAAAAAAAAAAAAAAAAAAAAAAAAAAGAACCCAATCCACTAACACCCTTCCAAAATTCATTCGCAAAGAATCAGGGGGAGGGGAGGGGGAGCCAAGGGAATAAAGCCCTACAGAACAAGCTGATTCGTGGAAAAATTAGTTTAATGTTAATAATTCACATAGTAAAAAAAGATATTTCTATCTTTACATTTCGCTAAATAGATACTAATTTTGGTAAGGGCAATTATAGGAAGCTGGAATCGTCTGTTCAAACGCACAGTAAGAGCTCACTTGAAACTATGTAACAAAACCTAGTGGTGTTGGGTTTCCAATTTGTCACCTTCCTAAAACTTTTAAAGTCCGAACTCTGGTTTCTTCTATTCTCCAAAAAAAAGACGCCACTACCAAAAAAATAAAACTAAACAGAGGGAAAAATAAAATAAAATAAAATAAAAAATTTTAAAAAAATAAAAAACAACCAGGAATGGAAGAAAAAAAAAAAAAAAAAAGGAATGGGGGAAAAAAAAAAAAAAAGAAAAAAAAGGGAAAAAAAAAAAAAGCAGCCCAACAAACGACCGACCCGCGAGCCTGTGAAACAAAACGCGTGTTTTACACTTGAAAGCAGGGCTCGGGGTGCTGCCGCTACTTCCCATTTCAAAGCGCAGCCAACATTTCTCGCCGACGGGCAAGCAGGAAAAGCGCCGGAGAGCCCCTGCGCCCCCCCCCTCCACGCCCCCCCCCTTTTCACGTGTTGGGGTTGGTTGCTTTGCGCCGCGGCCGCCCCACGCAGGACAGCGCCGGCCCACGCGCGCCGCTCCCGTTGATGTTTGGACCGAGTAAGACACTCGTGGTGTTTCCTAGACGGTTTCTATCGAAGCCGGCTCTTCCTAAGGCTGGGGGGGGGGCTTCCTCAGGGCAGGGGGGGGGACCCCCCCCCGGCCGGGGGTCTCCGCCGGTGCCAAGCGCTTCCCGCCAAAACCCTCTCACCTACAATTTGGGCGCCAAAAACCGCCTTCCCTTTCCGCCGCGGTGGAGCGGGGGGTCTGTTCCCGCAACCCTCCCCCGGCGCGGGAATTTTTGTTTTGTTTTGTTTTTGTTTTTTTTTTTTTCTTTCGCGTTTTGTTTAACATTTCCAGAAAAACGCGGTTTCTTTCCACCGGGGAACGTGGCGACACGCCTTCCCGCGCATTTCGGAGAGAGAAAGGTCGGTCGTGCCCAACCACCGCCCGGCTCTGCCTTTTGCCTTCCTTCAGTCCCACGACCCTCCCTATTATTGCCGCAGGATTATTATTCAAAATTATTTTTGAACAAAACACGGCTCCGACCCAGCCGCGCGCTCCCCACGGCTAGGGATGATGAGGGACGGGATTTGCTCGACGTGCATCTGCGGGGTATGAAGTTACCGTGGGGGTTTTTTTGTGCTTTTTTTTTTTTTTGGGGGGGGGGGTGGTGGTGGTGGTGTTTTGTTTGTTTGTTTGTTTTTGTTTGTTTGTTTTTGTGTTTTTTGTTTTGTTTTGTTTTGTTTTTTTCCCGCCTTCGCACTGCGCCCATCTCCGAACGGCGGTTCTTTGCGGGAAATGCCCTTTCAAGGCGCAGCAGGCGCCTCTTTCCCCCTCACCCGCCGACTGCAACCCGAGCTCGGATTTTGGGAGCCTTCCCCCCCACCCCCGCCGTTCCTCCGCCGTTCCACCCGAGGCGGGCGGCAGCCTCCGCCACCCCCCGCGGGCGCGCACGGCTCCGCGCAGCCCGCCTCTGGCCTCCGTTACCCAGACGGGGCTCACGCCGCGGTTTGCCGGCGCCGCTATTTGTGCTGGACCAACGCGCGGTTTCCTGAAGTTTTCCGTGGAAATGAAACGCGGCGGCTGTCGGTGTCCCCGTCGTCGTCCCCCCCCCCCCCCCCCCCCAGCCCTCCGGCGTGATCCCCCGTGGAGCACTGCAGGCGGCTTGCCGGGCGGAATTTGTAAAATACGGGAAACTGCTCCAGTCCCGAGCGTGATCCGAGGGG